GTGGGAGTGCCCCTGAGAGTGGGCGTGGCCCCGGGAACCGGCAGAGACGCCGAGGTCTGAGCCAGGGGGCTCTGCACTGGGCAGGGGGAGGGCTCCAGCTCCGAGCAGCCTTGGCTGACCCGCAGGCTCTGGGACCGAATGGGCTGAAAGACTCCGTCCCCGGGCCAGGGCTCAGCAGCCTGGGAGGGGAGCTGGCGGTGGGAGTGGAGGTCTTACCTCGGAACTTCTTGGGGGGGTTGTCCAGGTCCCCCGCCGCGGGCTCCACCACACAGCGGTCATCCACCAGCCTGGGGACAAGGCAGCTGGGTCAGCGGGAGGAGAGAGACCCATCTCCCCACCCTCCCTCGGGCAGGGGATTCCAGGACACCAGGGAGGCCTCCACTGACCCGCAGCACTGACAGCCCTCACCATCGAGTCATCCCCTTTCCTGGTGAAAGGCAAGATCTCTTGGAGTGGAGATGGGGGAGCCCCCAGGAAAAGCACAAAAATATGCCCCCCCACCACCCCACACACTGCTGTCACACACTGTGGATGTAACTCCTGTCACAGGCCGACCCCTGCTGCACAGACCTGAAAGGGCGGTGGGTGATGAGAAGGGGGAGAGAGAGGAACCAAGAAAGACAAGCTCAGCAAGAGAAACAAAGAGCAAGGGAGGGAGGGAGAGAGCAAGGGAGGGAGAGAGAGAGAGGGAGAGAGACAGAGCAAGGGAGGGAGAGAGATGGAAAGGACAACAAGAGTCAAAGAAACACACAGGGTAAGAGCAGAGGCCGAGAGAGACTGGAGACAGACGCACAGAGAAGCTCATGAGACACCAAACTAGAGGAACAAGCCTTCGGGCCTCACAGACAGAACAATACATTGCGCCTTCCCACCTCAGTCCGGCCCATTTCATCCCCTCCTCTTTGGCCACCTTGGGCTAAAGTTCCCCCTTACAGCCATGGCTGGGTTAATCCTAAATCTCTGGAGGACATCCACCCACCACCCATCCATCCATCCATCCACAACTCATCCACCCACCATCCATCCATCCCACCCATCCATCCACCATCCATCCATCCATCCATCCACCCACCACCCACCCATCCACCCACCTTCATTCATCCATCCATCCATCCACCCACCCATCATCCATCCATCCACCCACCCACCCATCCATTCATCCATCCATCCATCCATCTATCTATCCACTCATCCATTCATTCACCCATCCATCCATCCACCCACCCACCATCCATCCACCCCCCCCCCACCCATCCACCCCTTTACCCACCCCTCCACCCATCCATCCATCCATCCATCCCATCCATCCATCCATCCACCCACCACCCATCCATCCATTCATCCACCCACCACCCACCCATCCACCCACCTACCACCATCCACCTACTATCCACCCATCCATCCATCCACCCACTCATCCACCCATCCACCCATCCATCCATCCACCCACTCATCCACCCATCCACCCATCCATCCATCCACCCACTCATCCACCCATCCACCCATCCATCCATCCACCCACTCATCCACCCATCCACCCATCCATCCATCCACCCACTCATCCACCCATCCACCCATCCATCCATCCACCCACTCATCCACCCATCCACCCATCCATCCATCCACCCACTCATCCACCCATCCATCCACCCACCCACCATCCATCCCCCCCCCCCCCCCCCATCCCCCCCCCCCCTCCCGTCTATATCCATTAGTTATGCTTATATGCATGCATACAAGTCCTTTGGTTGATCTCTCTCCCTTACCGCCCACCATCCATCCATCCATCCACCCACCCACCCACACATCCATCCATCCATCCATTCATTCCTATATTTAAAAGTCTTCAAAGCCACCCCCACCTCTAGAGCAGCGGTTCTCAACCTGTGGGTCACGACCCCTTTGGAGGTCGAACGACCCTTTCACAGGGGTCGCCTAAGACCATCGGAAAACACATATATAATTACATATTGTTTTGTGATTAATCACTATGCTTTAATTATGTTCAATTTGTAACAATGAAAATACATCCTGCATATCAGATATTTACATTACGATTCATAACAGTAGCAAAATTACAGTTATGAAGTAGCAACGAAAATAATTTTATGGTTGGGGGTCACCACAACATGAGGAACTGTATTAAAGGGTCGCGGCATTAGGAAGGTTGAGAACCACTGCTCTAGAGTAAAGCAATGATGACAACCCACCATTTCAGAGACTGACTGTATCTCAGCACTTCACGATTCTTACTTCTGAATTCTCACCCACTTCCCCACAAGGACTAGTCACTAGTACCGTTTTACATATGAGAAAACTGGGTTTGGAAGTTAAATATGCAATAGGCAAGGTATAACCTTTTGTGTATATTAGTGCCAGAAACAGATACTACAAATCTTGTTAATTTGTCTGGATAATGTTTAAGAAATTTACCTTTAGTCTTCTGTAGCCTAATTTTTTTTCCAAAATAAAAGAGTGAATTTTTGTTGTAGTTAACCCTCACCCAAGGATATTTTTTCCATTGACTTTTAGAGAGAGTGGAAGGGAGGGAAGAAAGGAGGGAGAGAAGAAAAGAGAGGGAGAGAGAGAGAGAGAGAGAAGCATTGATGTCAGAGAGTCACATTAATTGGTTGCCTCCTGCAAGTGCCCAACGGGGGCGGGAGAACAAATCTGCAGCCCAGGGAAGTGCCCTTGACTAGGAATTGAACCTGTGACCCTTCGGTGCTCGGGTCGACATGCTAACCACTGAGTCACACCGGCCAGAGCAAGAGTGAATTTTTCATGTTAAAAAAAAAAAAGTTAAATAATTTTCCTGAAGTCACACAGCTGATTCTAAAGCCTCCTTCTGCTCCTCCCCTCCTTAGTTTGGCTAACAAGGCCTTTTGTGATCTGACCTCCCTAGCTAACCTCACAACCTCCTTGCTCCAGCTGTGCTACTAGTAAACCTCCAGTTGATCCCGCAGTCCCTGGAGCTCTCATCTCTACGGAGAGCCTGCACTGCCCTTCATCCCCGCCCACCCCGGCTCCCTCCGCGCCCCGGGCGTGCAGAGCTCTGCTCACTCTCCCACACTCAGCCCCTGTCACCTACCCTGTGAAGGGTCCTTGGCCAGTGCCTCCTCCCTCTGGGCTCCCTTCCCAGTGTCCCCACAGCGCCCGGTCCTGGCGCTCCTGCTGCCATGTCTCTTTCTATGGCAGCTACTTCCTGTGTCCACACTGATTCCTTGAAGACAGGACCCTGTGCGGTCCCCTTTGGCATCGCCAGCACTTTGCAGTGTGGTGCACAGTAATTATAATCGCAAGCAGGAGTTTATTCCCGATGTTTTCATATATCGTTTCTTAATGTTCTAAATCGGCTTTGCTATTATTTGCATTTCGCAGGCAAAGAAACCAGAGCACGGAGATGTTAGAGGGGTGGGCAAACTTTTTGACTCAAGGGCCACAATGGGTTCTTAAACTGGACCGGAGGGCCGGAACAAAAGCATGGACGGAGTGTTTGTGTGAACTAATATAAATTCAAAGTAAACATCATTACATAAAAGGGTACGGTCTTTTTTTTTTTTTAATTTTATTCATTTCAAACTGCCCACGGCTGTATAGACCATCTGGCGAGGGGCACAAGGCAGCAAGCAGCAGGGCTGGGCTCTGAGGCCGGCTGGGCGGCCTGTGAGCAGGTACTGGGCAGGGTACTGGGCAGGGTACTGCGTCACACTGAGAGGGTGC